CAGCCTCCTCTAGTTGAAGATCTCCCTGCTCCCTGCAGGGGGGTTGGACTAGGTGACCTTGAGAGGTCCCTTCCAACCCAAACCAGTCCATGATCCTGTAAGAGGGAGAAAGTAAGAAAAGCTTTTGTAGTTCTGCCTTTGATTTAAAGTGTAGTGCACCATGACTGAGAATAATCATCCCCTTCAGAATGTCCTGTGTCACTTTAGCAGGTGACACTTGGTTGACCACAAACCATAGCAAGGCTTGGTTCTCCCATGGTTTTTTGAAAGTGGAAGCTCTCAAAAAAATTCAATTTATAGAGAGCTCAATATCTGTTACACTTTTTATTATAGTAACCCTAATGAAGACTCCTCTGGGTGTGATTTTCTTATGATAGCCCCTGGATTTAAGAAGTACTTGTCTAATGATCCCCACAATGCAATTAGTTTCAGCCACAAAATTAACAGCTAAGCCATTAATTTGGTACCAGTGTGTTGTGGTGTCTGAACCTTGCCTGAGAACCAACCCTTGTGTGTGAGCCTTGACACTCAGTCTGATGGATGTCTTTGCAGCTGACAGCTTTCATTTGTTTGAGACTTGTGATGTCCACTAGAGGAAGCTTTTTAAATGGAACATTTTGAAATACTTATGTAAATAAGACTTTTGGGAAAACAGCTTAAAGCTAAGTAGAACTGGCTTTTGCCAAGGATTTGGGTGTCGTCTTTTTTTTCTTAGTTTTGGCAACTTCTTGGCAAAATTAAGCATGAAAACCACTAACATAAAATGTAGGGCTAGCAGTTGGAGAAACACTTTTTTTTTTCCTACCATCTTTTATAAGCAACAGTTTCTGTCTAGGATGAGCTTTGAAAAATACTCATTTGTAGCTTTGAAACCTCTTGGGCTCTGAGAAACTTTTGAGTATAATATGAGAGAATTGGGGAGGTGCATGAAACCTTTACAACCTACTATATGCCATTTATCTAGAAAAGCTTTTTAAGTAGTCCTTGCTTTAGCTCAAGGGACAAGAAAGGTCTAAATCTTCCTGGCACATCATCTTTATTTTATATAAACAGAATGTCTTAATTCTGCCTGTAATTAACTGACTCAACCATTGCATCTTCCTGGTTTTATTCTGGGGGGAGAGATAATTTTTTTTTCCACATATTGCTGGCTTTTAAAAGTGGCTTGAAATAACCAAGTCCAATCCAGCTGCTTCTCTTTGTTGAGTCAAGGAGCACCTGATTTCCCTGCAGAATGTACCCAAGTGTGTATCCAACTGGGGAATGCAAATAATGAGTGAGCAATACTAGAGGTTTTTCTCTGCTGCACAAGTAGCTCTCATTGCCTACTTAAATGCTGTACCTAGGCATAATTTAAGTGTGAAGCCTCATTACACTGTTTGGAAAGATTATTTTTTTTTTTAATTACATGGAAGGTGTCCTAAACTGGCTTCCCATTTATAAAGAGCTGAATCATAGAATCATTAAGGCTGGCAAAGACCTCTGAGATAGAGTTCAGCCATCAACCCAACACTCCCATGACCACTAAACCATGTTCCCAGGTGCCACTTCCACATTTTTTTGGAACCCCTCTGGGGATGGGGACTCCAGCACCTCCCTGGGCAGCCTGGGCCAAGGCCTCACCACTCTGTCAGGAAAGAAATTCTGCCTACCATCCAACCTAAACCTCATGGTTTGGGTGCTGGCCCCTCTCAAGCTTTGTGAAATGCTCTTGGAGAATGAAAAGATACAGGGAGCTGTGAGGTTTGCTGTCACATGTGGGGTACACACCCCAAAAGTGGGTATATTTGGCAGGAAATGTAGAATTTGTGTGTTTTTCATGGGCAGATTCAGGCTGGATGTGAGGAAGAAGTTCTTCCCCAGGAGAGTGGTGAGACCCTGGCATGGGTTGCCCAGGGAGGGGGTGGAGGCCCCATCCCTGGGGGTCTTTAAGGCCAGGCTGGAGGAGGCTCTGGGCAGCCTGATCTAGTGGGAGGTGTCCCTGCTCATGGCAGAGGGGTTGGAACTGGGGGATCCTTGTGGTCCCTTCCAGCTCTGACAGATTCTGATCTGTTTTAGCAGAGGACTTTAGAGCCCTAATGGCTCAATGGTTGGACTTGATGATCTTGGAGGTCCCTTCCAACCTAAAGGATTCTATGATTCTATGTCTGTCCTGTGTTAGGAAGCTGCATCCAAATTCTCTGTAAGATTTTCCATGTCTCTTTTAAAGAGAAACCTGTTGTTCAGCTCTGCCCTTCCCTTCCCAGCGATACCACACCCCGCCTCGCTCTCGCTCCTGCTCGGAGTCTGATGATGATGAGAGCAGTGAGACCCCTCCTCACTGGAAAGAGGAGATGCAGAGACTGCGGACCTACAGAGCACCGAGTGGGGAGAAGTGGAGTAAAGGAGATAAGTAAGATCCTTACTACACATTTTTGTCATCTTGGTGTCGTAGATAAGCTTGAAGAGGTTGTGTAGATGCACCGTGTCGTGGAATCACCATGGAATAACCCAGCATTGCCAAGTCAGCTGAACCATGTCCTTCAGCACCACATCTACATGCATTTAAATACTTGAATTTAAAAATGGAAATATTCTTCTGGTTGACACAGTCCATTTAAGTTCAAAAAACTTGAACTGGAAAACTTTCTTAAAACCTTTCCCCGTTGCTGATGTTGACACCAGGTGAAGACATGTTGGTAGGGGTTAAAGGTCAGAAATGTTGCCACTGTGGATACTTATTTAAGAAGTGATTAATTGATCTGTCCAGTTTCCTGTTGCATTCTATAGAGCTTTTATTGACAGATTTCATTTAGCCTCCAGCTTGGTGCTGTGGTTTCTTTGGATGCCAAGTAAAACAATTGATTCCACCAATCCTATATTTAGTTCAGTGTTGTGCATAATATATATATGAGGAATACTGGGTTCAGTTTTGGGCCCCTCACAACAAAGAAGACATTGAGGAGTTGCTGGATTGTGTCCAGAGAAAGGCAACAAAGCTGGGGAAGGGTCTAGAGCCCAAGTGTGGGGAGGAGCAGCTGAGGGAGCTGGGGGTGCTGAGCCTGGAGCAAAGGAGGCTCAGGGGAGACCTTCTGGCTCTGCACAGCTCCTGACAGGAGCCTGGAGCCAGGGGGGGGTCGGGCTCTGCTCCCAAAGAAGTCATCATAGGACAAGAGGGAATGATCCCAAGCTGCACCAGGAGAGGTTTAGGTTGGGTATTAAGAAAAATGTCTTGCTTGAAAGGTTTGCCCAGGGCTGTGCCAGGCTGCCCAGGGCAGTGGTGGAGTCCCCACCCCTGGTTAAAGATGCATAGATGTGGTGCATAGGAACGTGGTTTAGTGATGGACTTGCTAATGTTAGGTTAGTGGTTGGACTTGATGATCTTTGAGGTCTTTTCCAACCAAAATGATTCAGTGATTCTTTCTGCAGGTGCAAACTCTGTGATGGAAGCCAACTCTCCAGAATTTCTACTGACTTGATAGTAAATACGGGCTTCTCTTAAATTATGATAGATAAACCTCAAAAGCAGAACTGAAGAACATTCTATACCATCATTATTGAATGAATACAAATGTTTCTGATAGCTTTTTGCATACCAAGTGCCTTTAGTTTGCAGCATACCAGCTCAAAGAACACTAAATAAGCTGCTGTTTTAAAAGTTGTATTTAATTGTGGTTTAGGAATCCTATAGTTTCATGTTTTAACTACCCTGTGGAATAGGGTAGTTAAAACATGAAACCTCTTTAGACAGATACCAAAATATACAGAATTTGCTGATGTTGGCTGATGAATTTCATACAGAGAAGTAGCTCTGTTGATACTGATATCATTCCATACCTTAAAAGGAGCATGACCAGCTCAGTCAAAACAATTGTCTGGTAGTAAAGGGGGTTGTGTGTTTAATTTTTTAACTTAATTGGAAGCTTCCAAAGGATTTCCACTTAGTGTGGGGCTTTTTTGTTTGTTTTCTAGGCTGAGTGACCCATGTACCAGCAGGTGGGATGAAAGTGCATCTAGGAGATCAAGGTCTTGGTCCCATAATGGCTATTCTGATCTAAGTACTGTAAGGTATTCCAGCCATCACAAGAAGCACAGAAAGGAGAAAAAGAAGGTGAAACATAAAAAGAAATCTAAAAAGCAGAAGCATTTCAAGAAGCACAAACAGACAAAGAAAAAGAAAACAGCTTCATCGGATGTAGAATCTTCTCGCTCCTTCCTGAGGAGGACAAAAGCATCTTGTGATCGTGAGAGGAAATCTCGTTCTTCTTCATTGTCTTCCAGACATTCATCCAGAAGAGACTGGTCTAAATCTGATAAGGAAGACCAGAGCTCATCAACTTTATCAAGCAGAGGGACTCGATCCTACTACAGGTCCAGATCCAGGTCCAGATCTCGGTCTAAATCAAGATCGTATTCCCAAAGAAGTTCTAGGTCAAGGTCAGCCTCTAAATCATCACGTTCCCGAAGCAGGTCAAGGTCAAGCTCCAACTCTAGGCATCAGAAGACAGTTTCCAATTCTCCACGAAATATTTCAACACGTTTAAACGAGAACACTCTGACCAAAGCTGCTGAGCCTGTCAGAGCAGTTCTGCTCCCCAGCGACAAGGTGGTCATCCCACCCGTCGTCCCCGAGAGCCTCCCTGTGATACCCTTAAGTGATAGCCCACCTCCTTCAAGGTGGAAACCCGGGCAGAAGCCTTGGAAGCCATCTTATGAGCGAATTCAGGAGATGAAAGCTAAGACAACCCACCTCTTACCCACGCAGGCTAATTACAACTTGGTGGTGGTCAAAGAGGCAGCTGCTGCTTCCTCCTGTCGTAAGCGCCAGCGGAGCTCGGATAGCGACCGCAGTGCTGCTTCCAAGTATCGCAGTGACAGGAGCTCAGACAGTTGGCCCAGATCAAGAAGCAGATCCTCTCGAAGTAGGTCCTACTCAAGATCTTACACGAGATCCAGAAGCCCCTCCAGCTCTAGGACAAAATCTCACTCTTCTGGCAGGTCCCCGTCGCAGGGTAAATACCGCAGCGATGGGTCGGGTTATAGCGAGTCCACGTCCTACTACTCCCTTAGTGATGATGAAAGGCACAGAAACAAAAGGAAGTGTGCATCAGGAGACCAAAAAGCTCGGTCTCTGAAGCTGAGGCAAGAGACCAGCTCTGAAAGCACTCTCCCTTATAAGTGTGCAAAAGACTACGACGAGTCTTCCCAAGGGTTGAAAGAGAGTGACAGTTTATCAACCTCAGACTTCTCGACAGACAGCGAGCGTTCTGCCAAAACAAAAGTGGCCCAAGAAAAAGAAGGCCACTTCCAATTAGGAGATCATCAGAAACCAGATAAAGGCAGTCTCAGCTCTGAGCGAGGGGAGGAGAAATCCAAGCGTGGGCGGGATGCCGACCCCGCGAAAAAGAAAGTGGCTAAGGAGAAATCTGAGCAGCCCAGAGGTGGTGCCAAAACGAAACGAAAATCCTATTCGGGTAGTAAGTGGGACTCTGAATCCAATTCTGAAAGAGGAGAGGCAAGGCAGAACAGGGGAGAGTCCAGGGTCTCCTCTGGTAAAGAAGAAGGAGAGGCCACGTCGGGATCTGATACGGAGCATAGCGTGGATAAAAGGCTAAAAAAACAATCAAATTCTTCAGAAGGCTTCCTGGATTCTGATTGTACCTACAGGACGAACAAGCAGCTGTCATCTTCTGAATCTGAGAGCTCTTGTGCCAGCTCAACAAAAGGAAAGTCAAAAAAACACAAACACGCGTCCAAAAAAACCCTGAAAAAATCCCATTCCAAAAAAGTGAAAGAAAAGTCAAAGGGGAAAAAGGAGAAGAAACACAAAGTTCAGAAAAGAAAAGAAACGTTTCACTGGCAACCCCCCTTGGAATTTGGGGAGGAGGAGGAGGATGAGTTAAATGAAAAGCTGGTTACCAAGGATGATAAAAAAGAAAAGCAGCTTACCAGGGACATAAAGGATAAAAACCAAATTAATGACAAGGATGAAACAGGGGAGGATAAAATGGGAAATGGGGAAAAGTCTCATGTGGATGAAAACCTTTTAGGTAAGAACACCACACGTGATGCCTCACCAGGTCACAGTAACCTCAGTAAAGAGAGTGTTGAAAGCAGTGCTACAACCAGTATCTCAACCTCAGGAATGAAAGTGGCTGCTTGCAAGAAGGATTTTAACCAAGCTGAAGAAAGCAACGAGAATGGGCTGGAAGATGTTATCCAGACAGATGACAACATGGAGATCTGCACTCCAGAGCGTAACTCACCAGGCAAGGTTGAGGTGGATGTTTTGTCTCCTGTCATGCTTGCTGCTAAACCTCAGGCTTTAAGTGCTGGTGCAAGCAAAGATTTACAGGCTGAAACCCCTGAACAAGACGTTGTCAAAGTAGGAAGCAACATTATAGACTTTATTAATATTAAAGAAGAAAAAGAAACAGGGAGGCAAGAAAATATCTCTGTCCCTGCATCCAGTGCTAAAGACTGCAGTGTAAAAAGTGAAGTGGCAGAAAATCCACAGAGCAATGTGGTGGATAATAAATGGAAACCTCTGCAAGGTGTTGGGAACTTACAGCCAGCAACCCTCAGTGCTGCCACAGAGGTTAAGAACACAGCTTCAGCACCAGAGCCTAAACCAGCAGGCTTAAGAATTGAAATAAAAGCTAAAAATAAAGTGAGGCCTGGCTCTCTGTTTGATGAGGTCAGGAAAACAGCACGGCTCAATCGAAGGCCGAGGAACCAAGAGAGTTCCAGTGAGGAAGAATCTCCCAGTCGAGATAACAACAGTCCATCCAGGAGCCTCAGCAGGTCACGAAGTAAATCTGGATCAAAGTCCAGACACAGAACAAGGTCCATGTCCTACAGTCACTCCAGAAGTCGATCCAGAAGTTCTACCTACTCATATAGGTGAGAAGCTCCTGCTATTCCCACAGCCTACCAGGTGACTTGAAAACTGTTTTAAGGCATGGGGTTTTTTTTTTCAACTCAATGATTTGTTAGTTTTTCTTAAAACTGTGTTTTCAGTCACATTCTATTTTGTGCTTCTCAAAGTTGTTGGTTGTTTGTAGGTCGAGAAGCTACACGAGGAGCAGGAGCAGAGGATGGTACAGTAGAGATCGGTCCAGGAGTCGAAGCAGTTCCTACCACAGCTACAAGAGTCGTAGGTGAGCTGCTCTGCCTGGAGCTGTGTTACAAACCCCACAAATTTGGGTACTGTGGGCCAAGGCTTCAGTCTCTGAGTGTGTTGGAAGCGTGCTCAGCTGTGCACCCCACAGTCTGGAGCATCCACTTGAAACGTGCGAGTGAGGACGGTCAGATTTCAACATCTGCTACTGAAAAGGAATTGTTTAGTGTTTTTGCAGTATAGATCAGGAATTCTGAACAAAACTCTTGCTCTCTTCAGCACTTGTTCCCAATTTAACTGAAAATGTCTCTGTTTTGTTGCTGTCAGTCGAACCTACAGCAGAAGCAGATCCAGAAGTAGTTCTTACGGTCATCACAGTCGATCCAGGTATGGGTTAGGGGTTTGGACAAACTCTGCAAGAAATAGACTTCTTATAATAAATATCTTTAAGAATATCCCTTTTTCTGTGGTACTTAAATGTAATATATATAAAATATACTTGAATGAAAGCAAACTCAACATAAGACACTCTTAACAGCTCAAAATAACCAACCAACGTAAGACACTCTTAAAAATCTCAAAATAACCAACATAAGATGCTTTTAAAAGCTGAAAATAACCAAATCATCCTGATATTAGAGGTGATGCTATGAGCTAAGTAATAGTGAACATGTTTCCCTTGATTGTTAAAAGTTATAAACAGAATCACTTGGCTACTTGCTTGCAGAATTATTAGCCCACAAGATTTTTACTACACCTCCAGTTTGTAGAGAAAACATAACTTTTTTAAATGCTTAGTAAGTCTTTTTTTAAATCAATACATTTTAGATTTTTACTGTGGTTTTGAGGCTACTTCTTGGGTTTTAATTTTTATAAAAATGTAGAATTGTTTAACCACACCCTTCAAAAGTCATTTCTGTAGAACCCTTCCTCTCTGTCTATAAATATCTTCAAAATATGCATTGAAAATAGTGTTTTATGCAAAGATGTTGTAAATTTACAGTTACTTTCTTTTCCCCTTGTAGTAGGTCCTACACATATGACAGTTACTACAGCAGGAGCAGAAGTAGAAGTAAAAGGAGTGACAGTTACAGAAGATCTAGAAGCTACGACAGACGGTCCAGGTCTGGTTCTACTCCACTCACTTTGACACTGTTTATGCAAAAAAAAATTGCTAAACACATAGTTATGATGTTCTTGAAGTCTAATATTTGAGGATTTTTTTCTCCCAAAGCATAAAAAAATACCTCGTGCCCAAAAGTGGTAATTAATTATTGCTAAACACATAGTTCTGATGTTCTTGAAGTCTAATATTTGAGAATTTTTTTATCCCCAAGCATAAAAAAAATTCCTCGTGCCCAAAAGTGGTAATTAATTAAAATTAAAGCAAGTGTGTGAGTGAGGAAATGAGAATTTGACACTAAACTTGAGGATGAGAAGGGTTTGTGAAGGCTCCAGTTCATTGTATGTGTGCATTTAAAATGCACACAATTTGGAGTTTTTTAATGATTGTGAATGTTTCACAAAACCAGTAGTGAATTAGCACTCAAGATTTAAGTCAAGTGTCCCATTATGGATTAAAAGCTGTGGGACATGCCCAGAATTCCACTGGATGGTAAATTCTTGTTGGTTAGGGTGCAAAAGATGATTTTAAAGGGAAGAAAAATCTAGAAAGTAAATTAAAAATTGCAGCATGATCCAGAGCCAATGTTTAACTTCTTAGTTCTTGAAAGAACAAATTAGCACTCAAGATTTAAGTCAAGTGTCCCATTATGGATTAAAAGCTGTGGGACATGCCCAGAATTCCACTGGATGGTAAATTCTTGTTGGTTAGGGTGCAAAAGATGATTTTAAAGGGAAGAAAAATCTAGAAAGTAAATTAAAAATTGCAGCATGATCCAGAGCCAATGTTTAACTTCTTAGTTCTTGAAAGAACACTTTTACCTGTAAAAGCTGTGGGATATGCCAAGAATTCCATTGGATGGTAAATTCTTTTTGGTTAGGGTGCAAAAGAAGATTTTAAAGGGGAAAAAAAAAAAGATCTAGAAGGTAAATTAAAAATTACAGCATGAACCAGAGTCAATTTTTAACTTCTTAGTTCTTGAAAGAACACTTTTACCTGCAAATTCAGTGAGCTTCTGATAAATTTAGTCTGATTAATCCAGGAGAATTATATAGATGTTAGCAAGCACATTTCCCAAAGATCAGGAGTGGAACAGGAAACTTTTATATATATTTATATTAATGTATAAAAATATCAGTGATTTTTTTCTACCTTGTATCTGTCCCATAAAGCAAGCACGTTTCCCAAAGATGAGGAATGGAACAGGAAACTTTTATACATATTTATATATATATAAAAATATCAGTGATTTTTTTTCTACCTTGTATCTGTCCCATATTGGTCAGTGGTAGATCAGGCAGATCTCCAAGACTACTGAGTTTTCATCCTCTGCTCTCCTCATTTTTAACAGCTCTGTATCAACTGGGAGCTGACTTTGCTCTCACCTGTCTCCCCATCTAGCTCTGCCAGTAAGACAACTTTCTGTTTGAGGGGGAATTAATGAAGAGTGTGGAAATAAACCTACAAAATCACTTATTTTGGGAAGCTTCAGAGAAACAGTGCTGGGTTAGGAGATACCTTGCACTGGGGAAGCTTTCCTTAGAGGCACAGGGATAGGAAATCTCTAATGGAAGTTCATCCTGTGTGAATGGAGTGTGTCCTGTGGTTGTCTGAAACCATCTGGACTCTGTCTTGATGTTTGGCCAGGTGCTGAGCTGGAAATTCTTCTGGATAAGCCAAAACACTTCAATCTTCAGCTTCCACTCTGCAGACACTCACACTCCTGTTGCTGTGAGACCTAATTCTTCAAACAACTGCAGCATCTACATCAGGGATTTGTGAAATTTAGCTTAGAGGAGAAACTTTGTCAATATAAAATGATATATATTAGAATATACTTCTCAGTCAACCATTAACATTTACAAAACCAGTTATTTTTGGATGATTTAATAGAGAAAACAAGAAATTTTGTAGTTAAAAACACACTTTGAGATGAGTTCCAGTGGTTTTATTATGTAATGTTAATGATTATTTAAATTTTGAGCGTCCCTTAATGAATACTTCAGTTCTATGAAGTAAAACTTCAACACTTCTTGAATGTTTTCTTCTCTCAGGTGTGTGTCTGACTTGATAGGGTTTTGACATGATGCAGTTTTGACTTTGAAGCTCCAAACAGAATTTTGAGGCCTTTTCCCCTTTTCTTTGCAGGTCTTATGGCTCAGACAGCGAAAGCGATCGCAGCTCCTCCAACCATCGAAGCCCCAGTGAAAGCAGCAGATACAGCTGAAAAATGGCCCTTTGGGGATGGAAACTGTTCAATATGTTCTTTTCCAGTGTTATGTTTAAAAAAAAAACACACCTGTTTTGACAGTGTCACAAGTGAAGTTGGAGGGTGTTTACTTGAGTTACCTGAAGCTGCACCGTTTCACAGCAAACTCACTCAGCTGACTCTCTACATTGGAAGAGAAGTGCTGAACTCAAGTCCACTGATTTTATCTGTATTTTTTTTACTGTTACATGCTACTTTTACAGTATAGGGGAAAAAAAAAACCACAACCAGTTTTATTTCCTTGAATTGGATTTTTCCAAGCCACGAGTGACACTTCAGTGAAATTGCTGCTCCTGTTTTCCTGGGTGCAGCCATGTTTAGAAACAGCTTGGAGCTTTCTGCCTATTCCCATTAAATAGATCCCACCAACTATAAAACTGTGAAGAAACCTCCTTCTTTCTAGTTTATTAAAATGCTTTTTTTTAATCCTGGAAGCTGGGCTCCATGCTGTCTTGTCTGTCAGTTACATACAGTGTATACACCCCAGCTAGGTGATGAAAACAGTGCCACTCCTCCTTAATCCTCCCTGTCCTATGACATTGCAGCATTCAGCTGGAAAGGGTCAAATTCTCCCCAGCAGGAGCTATCAAACTGACAAGCAGTGAGCAGAAGTGTGGTGAACAAGGTTTGTTCTTTAGATCCATCTTGGCCAAACTTTTACGGTTTAAAAGTGAATTTTGCAGTCGACAGCAATGTTAAGAGTAAAAAAGTGTTTCTAAATGTTCTGAGTTTCATTGCAATTCATATTACAGCATCTTCAACACATTTTGGAAGCTGTAAACTGAGTGTGTCATGAGTTTGTTCAGAACACTTTTTAAAAACAAGTGATTTTTTTTTTTTGAGGAAACAAACCATAATAATTCCTTTCTGTCTGTAGGTGTATTCCATTTGCTGTAGGAAATATTGATGATATAGAACTACATCTTGATAAAATGGTATGACTACAAAAATACTGGTATGCCTGATAAACAGCATGGACAACACTTTCAAAGTAAAGTTTAATACCAAAAATTACACAGGTAAATGGTTGGGGCAGGGGGGGGAAGATTTAAGCTGAAGAGCACTGAGAATTTTTGAAACCTTCCAGTTAAAAGTTGTAAAGTTTTTCAGTGTTTAGAAAGTTGTGTACTAAGGAAATGGTTTTAATGGCATAATGTAACCTGAAAAGTGGGGTCTGTAGTGAAAGAACAGACTAAAGTAGCTTTATTAGAGCCAAGGAGTACTGTTGTATTATAATAGTTTTCATTACTTGCTGTCATAGCTTGAGGGGCTTTCACTTTCTCAAATATTTTCCCATATTGAGGATTTTTTTAAGTCTCACCAGGACCCAACAGCTCTGAAAAGTAAAAGCAGTCAGTTCTTGCTTAGGCAGCAGTTCATACACTCTGACTTGAAGCATCCAAAATTTGCTTTGAGGACACCTGAAACACAAAAAGGAAGATCCAGGTGAAGTTTGGAGGCTGAGGTGACACTGTCCCCTCTTGTTATGTGCCAACAGCCACGTCCAACATGTCCACACAGGTTCCTACAGCTGAATTTGGCATGAGAGGTTTTTCACTTCTTGGAAGAACCCAAAATTCTGGACTCATTCCCTGCTTTCCCTTGTACTTCAATGAACAAGTGTGCACATAATCCCTTCAACTCAGTATTTTGTAAGCTTCTTATGCTTTCTAACATGAAGTACATTTATTACACAAGTCATTACACAGTCACTGGCACAGCAGTGGCCATTTCAGAGCCCTGAACAAATATTCCAGTGCTAAAGCAAGATAATCTTTGCTGCAGTTTCCTGGGTTTAAGTCCAAATGTAACTTGGGGCTTTTTTTTCCCCCCCTTATTGACAAAATAGAGCAAATACACAAATATAAACATGGACCATTCAACACTTAATAGAGAGAAAATTCCTCCAGAATTGGGCTTTGTCATATTTCAGCTCTGAGTTGACATTTTAAGGCCAGGAAAAGGTAATAAAAAGTCAATTAATTAATTGTCATTATCCAAAATTACTGCAGTGTCACCCAAGCCTATTTCATCTCTTGAATTAAAGCTTTCTAAAGAAATTCCAACTGGGAGGGGTGTGAGGAAAGGGCAGGGGCTGGTGGGGGAGTGTTTTTACCTCATCAATTCTGTTCAGCTCTGCTTCAGAGGGGGAGCTGTACCCCTGAGCTGGTTTTTCTAACCTCGGGCTATGGGTTTGCAATTTTGTTACCCAAAAGTAGTTGCTGTTTGTAAAATAAACTTCTGTACATACCTGCAAAGCTGTTTCCTCCACCTCTGGAAGGTGCCCTCGGGGTTTGAGGGAAAGGGGCAGGAAAATGAATAATCCAGGAGGATTCCTCAGCAAGGTTCACTGTTGGGTTTACAGAGCACTCACAAATATTTTGAAATTTCCAAGGGATTTGAGGTCTTGCCAGTTCCTCAAGAGATATAAAAGGTTCCTCTCCTTTGAGAAGACACTTCACAGATCTCCCAATGGTGTGAGTTTAACCACTCTGCTAAATCTTCCCCAGACACACATTCCTGCATTGTTTCTGTGGGATATTGGAAGGGGTTTAGTTCAAGTCAGCAGCTGTAGTGGCTCAGCAGCCTGCTCCAGTGTCTTCTGCACCTGCTGTGCAGGAAAAACTGGATTTCAGTGGAAAATGCTGGATGTGACCTAGCAGAAAAGTTAATTGCCTTGGCCTGAGGTGGAAAGGCCAAGTGGAAGTGGTTCCTTGGGGGCTGAGGGCTTGTGTCAGCACTGGTGTGGCCAGCAGGAGCAGGGCAGGATTGTCCCTGGACTAGGCACTGGGGAGGCTGCACCTCAAATCCTGGGGGCAGTTTTGGGCCCCTCCCTCCCAGAAGGACCTTGAGGGGCTGGAGCGTGGCCAGAGAAGGGCAACGGAGCTGCTGGGGAAGGGTCTAGAGGCCAAGTGTGGGGAGGAGCAGCTGAGGGAGCTGGGGGTGCTGAGCCTGGAGCAAAGGAGGCTCAGGGGAGACCTTCTGGCTCTGCACAGCTCCTGACAGGAGCCTGGAGCCAGGGGGGGGTCAGGCTCTGCTCCCAAGGGACAAGGGACAGGACAAGAGGGAATGGCCTCAGGTTGCACCAGAAATTTGGGTTGGACATGAGGAAAAAAACTCTTGGAAAAGGGTTGCCCAGGGCAGTGGTGGAGTCCCCACCCCTGGAGGGGTTTCCAAGCCCTGGAGATGTGGTGTGAGGGTGGGGATCTGGCAGTGTTATGGGTTATTGGTTGGACCTGATGATCTTCAAGGTCTCTTCCAACCTAACTAAGTGCATGACTTAATCTTTAGTGTGCTCCAGGTAACCTGGCATCTCCCAAACTTCAGAGCACTGCTTCTGAAGTTCAGAGGATCATGGGCTGCTCAACCTGCTGCTGCAGAGCTCCACTTGTCCCCTGGTTGGGGCTGGAGCACATGCTGATAAAAACAGAGCAGCTGCCCCCCAGGCTGGTGCTGCTCATTAGTGGTGTTAAAAGAAGTCTTAAATCTCACAGGGTAGGAGATTAGTGGTCAAGTGGAAGTGGTTTCACCCAAAAATTAAACAAGAGGGTGAGGTCTGCCTGTCTTGGGTTCTTCTGGCAAAGATTGAGTCTACAATACCCACAGTATTGTGGTGCAGCTCTAAGAGCCCAGATGTTCTGCCTCTGGTTGCAGGTGGGTGGCTTGTCTAGGAGAAGACAACATGAAGGCAACATTCAATGGGCCACCAGGCTGTCCAACACCTCGTTCCCACAAAATGCCAGCAGAAATCTCCTCCTGCCCGTGGAGGTGCAGAGCTCTCTCCATCCTCCCCCACCCTGCTCACCAGGGGCTGGTTGCCTTGTGTCCTCACCCTCCACTGCTGAAACTCCTCTTTGAGAAGGTCCCCAGGTCTCCAGCAGCTTCGGGTGGCCCCGAGCAGGCACTGGGCTGGAGCAGAGGGCAGGGTTGAGATGACCTTGAGCTGCACTGGGGAACCCATCTGCTGTGGCTTCCAAAGGGACTGAAATCCCGAGGAGATAAAGCTCCACCCCTGCTGAGCTGCCACCTAAATCATCCTTGGGGCTTTTATTTTACATCTGGTTGTGGAACAGGAAGGATTTTCCACCTGGGATTGAAATGTTTTGACTGGGGTGAGTCAAAACTGTTTAAAAATCAAACAACGATTTGGTTTGACCCAGTTTGGGCCCAGGTTTGGATTTCATCACGTGTCTGTAACCCCTCAGAAGTGGACAGGGTAGGAATCGGGGGGCAGGGTGGGATAGGGTGGACAGGGTGGTTTCTGGGGCAGTTTGGGGGGTGGTTTTTTGAAGGAAGGAGATATTTTGGAGTCACAGTGGACGTAGCAAGAGCATTAATTTGGAATTGGTCACTGTTCCTGCCCTTGAAGGGTCACGGTGCAGCCCAAGAGCACCAGTGGCCTCACCCAGAGTAGGGTCTGACGTGGGTGCAGCTCCTGAGCACTCGTAGCTCCCACCCTGGCATTATGTCCTCGTCCTGCCCTGGGGCTGCAAAATGCCTCCATCGCTTCCTAAATTCAGCCAGGAAGGGGCTGCCCTTCCTCTTGGGATTGCTGCTTCTTCCAGCTCCTCGTGTGCCATGAGGGAGAGGCCAGGGAGGAGTTCTCCCCTTCTCCTCCTGCCTTGCTGCCCATCCTGTCACTCAGGCAGCATCCCTGGAACTTCTCCCCACTGCCTTTTGGAAAATGAGCCATGGCCAGCACAAGGAGGACTGGGAAGGTCTTGGGGAATGGGAGAGGTTGATCACACAATCCCAGCGTGGTGGGGTTGGGAGGGACCTCTGGGGATCATCTCATCCCACCCCTGCTCCAGCAGCTCACCCCCAGCAGGGTGCCCAGGGTCACAGCCAGGAGGGTTTGGGATCTCTCCAGAGCAGGAGACTCCACAGCCTCTCTGGGCAGCTGCTCCAGGCTCTGCACCCTCACCCCAAACAAGTTTCTCCTCCTGCTCAGGTGGCAC